ACGATTTTGGGGGCCCACTGAAATAGATATATGCTAATGTATATTTATCCTGCATTGCATAATTAGGCACATATTTTGTCCTTTCTTTAAAACATTGCATGTTCAGTTCTGCTACAAGCCAGAAGGAAGAGACATTCTCTTTTGTGGTTCTTTGTTCTAGAATCCTTCACTGAGATTGGTCTATTTTTATCTTTCAACAGTAAAGTATTTGAGGATTAAAGCAGGGCTTAGAAAGTTTGACTAAAGCAGAACATACTTGCTGAGGAATGGAATTTTGGAAAAGTAAACTTTTTCAGTGTATTTCCTGTGAAGGTAACTGCTGAGTCTTGGGGTGTGTACAGGGCACAAGTTGCAGCTAGTACATCTATTAGAAATTAAAATTACAGTGAGGGTTGGGGAGGATGGGGAGGAAAACATTTTTCTGTTACTCTTTCTTTAAAATGCCAATTTTTAAAACAAATTTTACAGATTGTTGTAACCACTGCACAGGTTTTACCTGTTTTGAAACAGACGGATGCGTGGAGAGTTACAGTTACGCTTGCATTTTATTAACAAATTATTGTAGAATTCCATTTAATTATCCAAGTGAACTGTTCAGCCCATGTGAGAGTTAGTTTGTCAGCCTCCTGAGCCAAGAACTTTTACTTTCTTGTCTGTATGGGACTGTCCATGCTAAAGATCAATCAGAAATCGTTCATATCGCCTCACTTCCAGTCCTTAATAGTTTGTAAATACAGTGTAATGTCAAGAATATTTTGTGTTTTTTCTGGTTTTAACTATTAAAGAAATGTTTTGCGAGATACATGTTCTTTCAAAATAACTTCACTTCCCTTGTCTAACATACAAATCTTTACCTGCTTATTTCGACACTGTACACAGACGGTTACATTAATCCTTTGATACCTATTGAGCAGAAGTAATGAATGAAGTAGCAAATTTCTCCTTCTGATTTGCTGCAGGGTATTTACAACAGGAAAAGCTTCTGGCTACCTGCCGTGAATTTATTTTGGAAAGCGCAGATTTGAAAGAGTATGCGGAGCACTGCACGGAGGATGGGTTTATTCCAGCCTGCTTGCTGGTGAGTTTGTATTTGCCAAGCAGAAAGTTAAGTTGTCTTGCACCCCTGGAGAAGAAAATTGAAATTTCTCAGTGTAACAATTACTTCTCAAATGCTGCTTGAAATGTTTAGTTAAATCATCCCTTCTGGTTTTTGGTGGGGTTTTTTGCATCCTGTGGTATTAATAGTTATTTGGTTTCTAGTGTTTAATCTTACTAAGAAACGTGTAAGCATAAAATGTGCAAATGGGTTTCAGCATATTACATTTGTTCTGTTTTATAGCTTTTAGGTTGATTTATGGAAGGGTGTTGCAAGGGTTTTATTGATTTCGGGGCTGCTTTTATAATTTATTGGAGATACTTTTCTGTCCTAGACACCACAGCCAGTAATGTTCTGTTTCAAGTACATGTTAAATATTTAGATGAGGTCCCTCAGCTTTAGCTAAGGCTACCAAATTTTGCTGACAAAAACTGTGATTCAGTTCAGGTTCCTGTTTGGTCAGTATCATCTGCTTTGTCCCAGGTGAAATGTGGAACTTTGGGTGTACATAAATACACTGTATATTACATAGGTAGATATGTGCATGTAGCTACAGGGAAATTAGATAATTTGAATTTTTAACATACAAAAAATGGTATTTTTACTATAGTATGCAAACTACAGGGTATAGGTATTGCTATGTATCAGCATTTTAGTGTTTATATGTGCATCTTCCTGTTTTCCATTTCATTCTTCTAATATATCAGTTAATATGACCTGGGTTTTTGTCTACAGTATTCAAAATTTGTGGAAATCTTTTCGGAGATCCGAGGTCTTGATGAACCTATTCAAAACAGAGCATTGAGCTTACTTCATTTACAAGTGTTTCGTCACCTGTATTTTGGGGGTAGGGAATTGATAACCAAGCTATGGCCAGCAAAAATCAGAAAACCCAAATGTTTTATCCAGTTTCTTAAGGCTTTTCATTATCTTCCTTTTTCAGTAGAAACATTTTTCCCGTTTTTCATAGAAAAGGGATAATATGTTAGTGTCTAGGAAAAAAATTCTCGCTGCAGCTCAAAATGCCTGCAATAAAGGGCTGTATTTGTCATACCCTATACAGTTCCCACTAGCAAACAAGACAAGAAGGTACAACAAATGATAGTGGTAACCTTACAACCTTAGGTTTTTTTTGTTTCACCTACAGTAATAGAACAAGTAAATATGATGTGAAAGTGAATTCTCTGTTAAGAGTTTTACTGTAGACAGAAGTTCCCTTCACGTTTGCACCTTACATACGTTGTGCTCCAGGACGGTACATACTCATTACTCTGTTAAAGCTGTTCATCATCTGATTTTTGTGGGTTTATTCCATAGTGACACAGGTGAGTGGAGGGCGGTCGTGCAGCTCTAACTGCTGTACCAGTGTTGTGCAATGGGATCAATCACTTCAGATTTTGTGTTTGTAATGGCATTTTGTTCCACAGCGTGCTCTCTACCTAGTTTGAGACAACTCGGCACCAGCAGCGTACGTTTCCTTGTGTTCAGGGTCAGCGTGGCGTAGCCTTCAAAGAACTGCTTAAATATAATGTGATACAGCAGATGAAGTTATTAGTGAAGACTCTAAGATCAGTATCTTTTTTTCCAGTCCCTGTGTGGAAAAAATTTGACAACTATTCTTAATGAATACGTAGCCATGAAAACAAAAGGTAAGCCTTATTTATCTGTTGTGAACTCTTTGAGGAAGAGGGAATATCTCCATCTATATATGGACTTAGATCAATCTCCCCTCTATGCTAGAAGTTGAAGGTTTCCATATTATGCAGATAACAGCCAGTTAGATCAGCATCTTGTGAGCAATATCAATTGATTATATTGGTTTGTATTTGCCAGCATATATTTTAATTTAAATTTGAGCAGAACTTCTAATGTAGTAAAGTGTAAAGATATAATTAAGTGTGCAAAACATATGGGTTTATACTTGTAGAATTATACTGTTTATTGTTTGTAGTGTGAACGGGAGGGGGAGGTGCTGATCTCTCTCCGTTGACCAGCGATAGGAGACACTGATGTGGAATGAATCTGTGCCGGGGGAAGTTCAGATTGCACGTTAGGAAAAGGTTCCTCACTGAGAGGGTGGTTGGATACTGGAACAGGCTTTGCAGGGAATTCGTTACGGCACCAAGCCAGTCTGAGTTTGAGAAGCATCTGAATGACATTTTTAGTCATATGGTTTTAGGTAGTCCTGCGAGGAGCAGGCAGTTGGACTCGATTATCCGTATAGATCCCTTCCACCTTGAGATATTCTATGAAATAACCAGGAAGTGTCCTATGGTGTGAAATGTTAGAGACAGAGTTAGAGTGTTTCCTGTTTTTAAAAGCAGTTATTGAGCTGGTGAAGCTTGGAATTTTTTGATACGTGTTGTATGATCAGTTTTAGTGGTGCTTGGTTCTAACAGTTGCAATTTAAGACACATAATGCTTGGAACATTGCTGGAATGTTTTCCTTTCACAGTAGGTTTAATAGAGAAGGTAACTAAGACACAAACATGTTTTCTTAAAAATACTATGTGCTTTGCACCTTGAAAAACTTGATACAAGTGATCTGCTTACATCTTTCCATTTGTACTTTAATGTTCTGTGCTTCAAAAATGCCAAGTGTTCTACCTGTTTGCTTGACGTCTTAAAAGAAACCATTGCTTTTAAAGGCCTCTCTGCCAGGTTACAATTTTCAGTAGCACACCAGTGACTTAGGGATATGAATACCATTTCCAGAAGTGAGTTAGGCTAGGTTAGCATGTGTTTGCCCAGGAGTCAACACCGTCTGTATATTGAATTGAAAATTATCATCGTGAATGTCTTTGCCTCAGCTTCATTGAGGCTTCCAAAACTTTAAACTGTATCCATGATGCAGGTGTGTTCATATCAAAGTTCGTAAATTAGGAGTTAGGGCTCTCTAATTAACAGAATATTAAGAAGGCAACTGGACAGCTGAAGTTAGATGATGTTTGAAACAATCTATAATAATTATTTTGCTTGTGATTTTACTTTTTCTCAACATGTATCCTTTTTAGGCATCTAAATGTTTTTTTTAATGGTTTATTTTAGAAACAACAAATGAAGTTCCAGCAATGATGTCATCTCTCTGGAAAAAATTAGACTATACACTTTCTCAGATCAGGTAATAGAGTTTTGAAATCAAGAAAGTAAAATTTCACTCAAAGAGTGACTCAAGTCCCTGTGTTGATCAACTCCCCTTCTCATTGAATGAGTATGGTTTTTACTCTCTGTTGCCTCTGGACGATGGTGAAACAGATGGGTATGTGAGAGTTGATAGCTGAGTAGAGATTTCAAGATTTTAAGGCAGGGCATAAGGAGGGCGTTAGTGTGAGAATGTGGTCTTCCTGTAATAAAACAGTGTGCTGTGGCTCATTTAGAATCCCATACCGTTGTGGTTACTTGATCAAAAATGTAACACTAAGCTTCATCTGAAGGATCTGTGACCATTGTTTGAAAGAATAAAACTGCCAGTTGGTAGATGGAAGCTCTCTGAAGTGATGTGGGGTTGTGGCCACGCTGACATTAACCATGTGGAGGGTGTCCCTGCCCATGGTAGGAGGGGTGGAACTAGATGATCTTTAAGGTCCCTTCCAACCCAAACCGTTCTGTGATTCTGCGATATGATAAATACTGTTCCACTGTGTAGCTGAGTTTTTCCATTGTGCTCCATTTATTTATGTCACCTGCTTTATTTTTTAGGAGCATGCAGAATTCTACAGGATTTTCTGCTAATCAAAGGAGTAAGTAACTGAGCCAATTCCATGGGATCAGGGGGCTTTATGTTCAAATTGCCTGTTGTGGCAAAAAACGGGAGAATGCTGCAGCAATCAGTAACACATCCTCACTCGGAAAGTGATGTCAGATCTCCTGTGGTGTTTTTTTCAGCATGTCTTGTCTTCAGTGTAGTCTTTGGATTACTGTAATGATCAAGAAAGGAATATAAGAAAAGCTGAACTTCTTGTAAGGGGCTTAAATTCTCCATACAGTATTTTCTTCTCTGCTGAAAACTTCTTAGTTTACAGAGTTAAAAGGTTTAAAAACTGCTGCTTCAGTCCTGATGCTGTTGACTTAATCAGTGGTTCATTGAGGAACTGAAAACATAAGCAGTCTAATTATGATGCAGTTTTGTTTCTGTAGAAGGCGAATACCAAAATGTATTACAATCTTGAAAATATTATTTTCTTACGCATACAAACATAAACCAAAGCAAAATATGAAAAGATACTTGTTCTCTCTGGAATTGTTTCTTACATTAAAAAAACTACCAAATGAACTCTCAGGTAGTTATTTTATTTTAAAAATAAACTTTTTTCCCTGAAGTATTTCTACTGAGTAATGTGTGTGAGAAAAGAGAATGTGAAATATGGGTAGTGACTGCTCTTGGATCTGAGGTTCGCTGGATTGGGTGGTGTTCTGTTGTTTAAATTTGCCAGATTTAGTGTGATAAATAAATGCGGACTTCCATTGGTTTAGCTATTTCAGTTGAGGTCAGTAATGTGAGTGGTATAGTATGTAGTGAAATATCATTTTGCTGTCATTTATTGCTGTACATACGTAGGCAGTGATACAAGCATGGTTATAGTGTCTGTGTAAGTTGGCTGTACTTCTCAAATTATTTTTGTTCAAATCTTTACGTAACACAGATGACACAGATGGGTGTTGCTTCCTTTTGAGTTTCACAAAAGCACCAAAAAGTTTCAGTGGAGCATCCTTAATTAGGTCTTGGAAAATCAGCAACTTTTTAAAATTTATTTTATCGTATGTTTTCATTTTGCCTTTATTATCTCCAGCACGTACAAGAAGTGGAATTGTAGAAATGAAAAGGCAGAGAATGCTTCAGCAATCAGCTCCTGCAAACTCAGGACTGTTGTCAGTAGCCCATCACTCAGGGCTACAGAATTCCGCTGCTGTTGTATCTCCCCAAGTTATTCACAGGCCAGCAATAAACCAAAGCATGTCACAGGCGAGACTGAATACGTTGTTTGTGCACCAGTCACAAGCCCAAGAAAACAAGCTCAGCAGTAAGTTGGACACTTCTTCAAGCCTTTCTTTCTGTGAAAAATCTATGGATGTAGATGGAAGTTTTCTAAAATCAGGGCTAATCATCTTCCACAAAAAAAAATTCAGTGAAGCCATGCTTTGTTCCCTTAGCTCTCAAACTGGTGCAGGTGATTAAAATAAAAGGAGTGCCCAGTAGAGAAATTACTTTTGCACATTTGGGGCTAATGTGAGATCAGAAGTGCATCAATTTGTCATTATTCTGTTCTGTGTTTCACCCAAAACACTTGTTTTAGCAGATAGGGATGATCCACATCAAGTGGATGTTTTCTTCAGGATATATTTAAAAGGAGTGGTTCTCATTTACATAATAATACCAAATTATTTTTGTATGAATTCCCTGGATTTGATTGGAATGTAGTAAGTAATGTAGAGATTTCTGTGTCATGGATTTAACAGTGTCATGGAAAAAGATTCTGACATGGTGATCTTTTTCCTTCATAAAGCAGGAGATTTCATACACATCCAAGTTCCAGCATCACAAGAACGAAAGCTTCATTCAAATTTGCTTTCTCCAGGAAGACGAAAAAGGTAAACATGGTTTGGTTTGGTTTTTGGTTGGTTTGTTTTTTTGTTTTCAGACCGTGTAGAGGTATGCGGTGTTTTCACCTCTGGTGTAACTTTTCTTAGGCGGTGGAGTGTTTCACATTAGATCCACCGAGAGTGGCCCGTGTGGAAAGTCAGAGAACTTAACAGACTGACAGGGGGCTACTTGTGCTTCTTTACTGCGTATAGCTGCTCTTTACATTATCCCAGTATTAGACGTAGGCAGATAATCTTGGAGCCTGAAATTTAGTATTCCATCCAAAATTCCTTCCAAAAATCAACTATGAAAATTCTCAATATTTATATAAATGTGCTGGGGGTTTTTTCCTGGTTTTAACTTAGAAAAACTATTGGCTTCAGTAAGTTTTTGTCAGCAAAAATTTTCATGTTTGCCCTAAAAGTGGTGCAAAAAACTGTTCTTACACAAGTTTTGCATTTTTTATTCTTTGGTTCCATTGGTCTGTCTGTGTTCCATTTGTTATCTTTATCCCTGGCTAAATCCCAGTTGGTGGGTTTGCTTACCAGTTTTCCGCATCCTTACTGATTTATACCTTTTCCAAGCCCTCTCTATTCCTGCATGGGTTTTTTTGTATATAAGTGATTTCCATGGCACTACTGATTGATGATTACAGAAAAAACTACACTGTGATTGAATTTAAAAGCATTAAATTTCCTATTCATCATCCAAATTCCTATGCAACCTAACATTTGTTTGCTTCTTTGCCAATAGCTGCTCCTTGAGAGATCTTTATTTTCAGTGGTGGTGCCCAAATCTTTTTATTGAGTGGCAGTTAATTAGAACCTGTACCACCAGTTAAAGTAACGCGTACTGGAGGGGGGAAAAAAATACTTAAGAGCGGGCATGGAATCAATTTGCCATTGTGCTGTTTACCCTCAGTCTGTATGGTTGTTTGTAACTTTTGTGGAATCAGACATACTATATGCATACGTCATAACGGAACAGGTATCAGCTTTTATTCTATTTCCAGTATATGGTTTATTTTCTGTTGATTAAAAACTTTCGTTTGCTAAGAAGGAAGAGAAACACTTGATTTATTGACCAGTAGGTCTATTGTTTGCTGTGTTCTCTCAAAATACATCATAAATTTCCTGGAATGCTTCAGTGAATCTCAGAAGAGGAAAAGCGTTGCAACATCTGGGCCTCTGTCGGCAACTAGAAGCTCTCAAGACCCTGATGAAGTAATAATAGAAAAAGCAAGTGAGCCACTTGAGGAATTCATAGATGGTAACTTCCCGGTGAGTATATACTTACAGAAGGTGTTTATGTTTAAGAAACAAATTCAGACTAAGGAGAACTGATCTCTTGCATGTTGTCTGTCCTGGGTATTACAGAAGTTAACTCTAGAAGATAAATGTATTTGGTTGTATTTGAACTCTCTTGTGTGTGCTCAGCGAGTGAGGATGGCATGGCTATGTAGAGGGTTTTTTTCTTCCACTTGATTTATTTGCTTTGCTAAGATACCTGTAAGCTGTCAGAATACAGTAATTCTTTAAAGAATGGAAGCCGGAAGGCACAGTAATCCTTGCTGTACTTTAGGAGAGTAGAAGTACAGGAATGTTTTGGGATGATTGACCAGCTTCACAGATTTCCTAGCACAAAGGGAAGAAAAGTTAATAAAGCAATGGGAGAAGGACCTTCCACCACGGGTGTAAGCATATTGTCTGGTGGGTATGGCAGTGCTGGGTTGATGGTTGGACTGGATGATCTTATAGGTCATTTCCAACCTTTGTGTTTCTGTGATTTTCATAGCAACGCCATCCAACCACAGATTGGCTGTCTCTCTGTTAGAGTGTTCTCTGTGTTTGATTTGACTTTTATTTTCCTAGCAGTGAGTTGGAAATTCATGTTCCTTTTCTAACTGCTAAAAATAGAAACCTGACCACTTTAAAACTCTGTTTTCCAGCAACTAGTTATTGAAAATGCCAGAGAAAAAATCTTGAGCAACAAATCTCTTCAGGAGAAGCTTGCTGAGAACATTAACAAAATCCTGGGCAGGTAATAAAAGGAACCTCTAAACTTCATACGTGTTCTTCTTTGATTGATTTCTGGGTTCTGAGCTAACAGCTAATGTGTTTCAGTGACGGCAATGTCGCTCAGGCCCCTAAACAGACAGAGAGTGGTCCCACGGAGCAGGAGACTTCCATTGATGAAATCCTTGGACTTCAGGTAGGTGTGGATTGCCCTGTTAAGTTTTTTTTTTTTTGAAGACCAGGCACATGAGAGTGATCATTTATGGGTACTATGCTGAGCCTCTGTCTACTGCCTGGTATCTGAGATTGCTCTCCTCTCTCTCCTTTCTTTTTATGTGTTCTGCAGTACAGGCAGGCCTGTCTGCTGACTGGCTCCTGCCCGGGGCAGTTCCACAGCATAGGAATTAACTCTTACCTTGCTGGATGGTGGTTGGCGGGTGCGAAGAGCTGAACTGGCAGGATCCTAGTATTTTGCTGGGGGTTAGTTTTGAGCCAGTTCAGCACTTTGAATTCATTCCCAGTGCCTGTACAAGGCAGCATAAGCAGGGAGCAGGGTCAGAAGCTGTGGGAGTAGGACAGCTGCTGGCAGTGGTTAGCTGTTAACGTTACCTGCAGACTGAGGTCTGAGTACATTGTCCCATGTCACTGGATCTCTGCTACCAGTAACTGGGTACCAGCTGCTGACTTGGGATCTGACCAGTAGCCTTGTAAAAGAAAAAACAAATTTAAAATATCTTGTGGTGTCCAACCAAACACATTTAGTCTGATTTGACTTTCTCATTTGCTGTAAGATACGCGTGAATTGTCTAGTATAGCAGGAGAAATTGTCTTTGGAGCCTAAAGCAGGCTGCTTTTTCTTCAAATTTAATATTTCCTTGCTTTTGGAGGAAATGTACGCTCTGTTTCTACAGAGTAAACTTGTAGTGTTCTCCCTTCATTCTCCTACAGCTGGCAGTCAGAGTTGTAAGGAGCTCTTAATGAGGGAATTCAGTTAGAACAGTTAGTCAGTTAGTCAGTTAGAAGGAGCTCTTAATGAGGGAATTCAGTCTTCACATCCCTCATGAGAAGGGCTGGAGAGCAGAGGCAGCTGCCCATTTACAAAATAGAGGTGTCCTTTTTGAAAGATACTCTTCTGTCATTTGGTGATTTTTTAGGTCAATTTTTGTCAAAATACAGAGCTGAAAAGCTGTATTCCATTTTTTCTGAGAACAAAATCAGAGCAGGTTGTTGGTTCAGTTAGAGTAGCGGAGACAAAGTAATCAAGCCTATCACATGGGATATTCACCCTTACAACCACCATATCGAAAGCTGTAGAGCGCATAGGGGATTTCCAGGAAGTCAGGAGAAGCTTTGTATTTGAACATTTGGGTAAGTACTGAGTGCTCTGCTCGTTTTCTTTCTGGACTGCCACCGAACAGGTCAGCTTGAAAGAGGAACCTAAGAGCAGTGTCCTGTGTAGCTCTGCCTTCCACCCGCCTTCCACAGCACGGTTTGGGGGGCATGTTATTGATGAATGGAATGAAATAAAACTTCCCTTTGCTTAGCACCAGATTCTAGATATATGCCAAACCTAGAAATTAGGGTTACTTGGGGGATGTTTTTACCAGTGATTGGCTAGTGCAGGCTCACAGCGTTCACACCATCTGCATAAGCTTCCAGCGTCACCCAAGATTTAGTCTTCCTTAAACAGCAATGCTGGCCATTATGTGGAGAACACTCCAATATACACGTGCAGGGTGAGACGTCTGACAAAGATGTTTGGGGTTTGGGGGGACTTTATTTCTATGGGTTCAATCACTAATATTTTTTACCAGACATTAGATTTGTGGCAGAAATGTTTCCAGTGTTGGTCTTTATGTTTCTGTGCTGAGCAGAAGTAACAAATAAAAACAATCTGAAAAGAAAACTTATGTCTTTTGCTTCTAAGTTATCATAGAATCATAGAATCATGGAATGGTCTGGGTTGGCAGGGACCTTAAGGATCATCTAGTTCCAACCCCCCTGCCATGGGCAGGGACACCTTCCACTAGACCAGGTTGCTCAAAGCCTCATCCAGCCTGGCCTTGAACACTTCCAGGGATGGGGCATCCACAGCTTCTCTGGGCAACCTGTTCCAGTGCTTCACCACCCTCTCTGTGAAGAATTTCTTCTTGATATCTAATCTAAACCTCCCCGCTTTCAATTTAAAACCGTTACCCCTTGTCCTATCACTATAGGCCCTTGTCAAAAGTCCTTGTAAAAAGTTATGAAAGTAAGTGTTTGACGGTTCTGTGTATCTTGTCTTTTCTCAGGGTGAAATTCATATGTCAGAAGAGGCTATACAGGACATTCTAGAACAGACGGAATCAGATCCAGCTTTCCAGGCACTCTTTGACTTGTTTGATTATGGTAAGGTATATTGCGCTCCACTGTACCGTTACTCTGCAGCATCATGAATGATGAGTTTTCCAAAGTATGGCTTGAGGAAGCGAAGGTAATCTCAGCCGGTTGCTTCTGCGAGAGAAAGGGACTGCGTGTCTCAATTCAGAATTAGATTTTTATGTATTTTTTTTTATACGTGACTGTATATAAACTACAGCATCTTCTTGTGGCTGAAATTCTGGTTTTGTGCTGGCTCAGTGATTGTTTCCTTGCTGTTACTTTAGACTCTTCTGGTCTAAAGGATGATAGTTCATACTTGGTTTTCAATGCTGTGGTAAATTTTTCCTATTTGTCTGATCAGGGGTATCCTCTATAAAATATAAAGACTTTTTTTGTGCTATTTCTGGACTTGTAATGAATATAGACAAATAGTTCTGAGCTTAGGTTGGCATTTCTTGCATTTCAAATCTCCATGCTTCATTTAAAATTGTAACAATCAGATTTGTGTGTAAAATGACATAATTAATCATTCTTCATGCTTTATTTGAAAATAGGAAAGAACAAAGTAAACAAGAACTTACCTGCTGGTATTTCTGGTCAGAGTGGAGTAGAAAATGCAATCCTGGTGGATGAGGGTAACCTGGAAACACTTGAAAGTTCGTTAGGAACAGAAGAAACTACTAGGTGTAAGTTGTTTGTTTGTTTTTCATTAAGATCTCTCTTAATCTGTTCACTTTTCATTACGAAAATATTTTCATAAATGCATCCGTTTCAAAATCTTTATTTTCAGTGGTAACATCCAATCTGACATTTGCATTGCATGAACATAAGGATACACCTCGTCTGTTAGGACGTTTCAGCCTATTAAATGTAACAGTAGCCCATCAGTGTACTTAGGCCTTGTACTTAATAAGCTCCTAAACGAAATGACAATATCTGCAAATCTGCTCATTTGAAAGAGAGATACTTCGCAGTATTCATTGTGGGACACATAAAGATGGTGTTTTACATCCAACCATATTACTCTTCTCTCTCTATTCTGTAATGTGGTGGTTAATTAATACACAAAGCCAGTGTTACTCTGGTCTAAAGGTATGTGCGGTCTGTCTACCCCGTTCTTAACAATGTCTGTCAGTAGCAGATACTTAGTGGAAGTATGTGAGGAATAGAGGCAAGAGGTTTTTATCCTGGGATTGGTTTTGTGCTTCTGGATATATGGTTCAGTAACTGGAGCTGTTTGTTTATTATGTGTACGCTTACTATTTGCCAGATTGCCTGAGGTATATAACCACAGGTTTCCTACTCTTTCCACTCAGCCTGAAAGTAGGGATGAGTACCATTATTCCCACGGTTTCATGTGAAACAGTTTTCCTTTGAACAGATAAGTTGTTTCTAAAATGCTGTAAAAGGATCATCTGCTCTAATGACTATGGCACTAATTTATTCTGTGTTTTACAGGTGATGATACTCGGGAATCACTCTCCTGTAAAGGTTTTCAGTTAGAAGCAGCATCGTGTGCCTTGAAGACCAGCGTTAACGATGATGATGTGGCTAAGAAAAACACAACCGACGAACAGTTACAGGGAAGCTGTAGGCCACGGAAGCAGACTGAAGTACTTAAAACCCTTACCCCTGAACACGTGGGAGAGCTCGAAATCGCGTTTGACTCTGTGCCTGGCTTGACTGAACCTAACAAGAGCCAGAGTTCTGATAGCAAGTGTAATGAGCACTGCGGAGATCCTTACGATAAAAAAGAGTCGTCTGCATTGGTATCTGCAAGTGAAAGAACTAGGGAAATGGAAAAAGACCCACTAAGTTGTAGTGCACAAAGCAGTCCTAGTTTACAATATGTTCATTCTGGCAGTCCACAGGTTTCTTTGATTTCCTTGGCGGAAGGCACTACAGCCAGTGAAAACAAAACGCTTTCTGGAAGTAAATGTCACTTATCACCAGATACATCGCTGCCTGAAAACACACTTACTCAAAGCCCTTCTGACAGGAGCTCCGGGCACAGTGTGCTGCTGAGAAAAACCAGTTCCTCAATTTCCAGCCCATCAGGAGATGCAGGGAAAGATCAGGCTGTAACAAACGACCCTGCTGCCTCACCTGGTATTTTACAGGAGAGCTCCGGACAGCACTCCAACCCTCAGGAGCAGAGTCTGCAGTCGGACTGTGCTGCAGGATCTGCGGTGAGGGTGTCACATCTTGACAAAACAGAGCTGCAGCTTGAAGTTGTTGATACTTCCAACGAAGCATATGCAAACGATCAGCGTGCGCTTGCTAAGCCTGGTGCGAAAGATTTCAACCTTCCTCCAGGACTGTCAGACTCGGAGGGAGCACAGGGAGAAATGCAAGAACCTTCCTCTTCTACAAGACTAGATGCTGATAATATGTATTTCTCTTCCAGTGATGATGCATGTACAGAAATCTCTGTAGTATCCACTGAAAATAATCTTACTACCTCTGAAATATGCCACTCTCCTCTCCCAGAAACTGCATCCTCAACAGATGAGTCGGGCACTGAGGCCAAAAGTATAACTGGTGTATCTTCTAGTAGTCAGCCAATGGATGTTGATCCTTCTAACATAATGTCCCTCAAGATCATCATCAGCGACGATCCATTTATGTCATCAGACACGGAGTTAAATAATGCTGTTTCCAGCATCACAGGAGAAAATTTGCCAACTATAATATTGTCATCTCCAGCCAAATCCCCAACCAAAACTGCAGGCCTGTCCAAATGTCTTTCTTCAGAAGACACAGAAAAAAATGTGGATTCAGCTTTGGCAGAGCAGAACCTCCTTGTGCTTAGACCTAAGGATCCTGTGGTCACCTCAGTTAACACGCAGAGTGAAGACTGCGCTGTTGTGTCAGTTGGAGGTACAACTAATCTTTCCAAGGAAGGGGGATTCATACAGTTGATGCCAGCAACAAGCACAGCTTTTGGGAATTCAAACAACCTTTATATAGCCACCTGTGTGACTGATCCAGCTACCTTGGGTACAGCTGTAACACCATCAAATGTAGTTGTATTGCCTGGCAATTCAATGCCACTTGCTGCCCAAGCTCCAGCTGTACAACCGTTACGGACTCCTCCTAGATCCAACAATGCGTTTGCAGCAAACCAGACTGTCTCCCCAAACTTCCCACAAGGTAATCTCTGGAATGACTGGAAATGTGATGTTTATATAGCATTTTTATTCTTTTTTTTTTTTAAGTACATTAGAAGTAAATAATTTTTAAACAATTCTCTATCTACCCCTTGAAACTAGCCAAGAGTTAATGTATTTTTGACTATAATAGTTGCTACTAAAAATGTCTGGCACGACATCCTTGTCTCGAAACT